GATACTACATAGAAAGTGTAGGTATTTCCTTGAGATAATCCTGATGTTATATTGATTGTTGTATGACTAGTGTTGGATACACTAACAGGAGTATTACTAAACAGTTGATAGTAGGCCTCATAACCAGTAGCTCCTGATACAGTAGACCAGGAGAGTCTTACATGAGCTAAACCAGTACTTAATCTTGTAGCAGTTAAACCAGTTGGAGTATCAGATACTGAAACAAAGCAATAATTAATATTAAACAATAATAAAACGGACCTGATAAACTAAATAATGTGATACTACTTGATGCCTGAGCACCTCCTATAGCACCATTAATACTAGCAGTTACTCTGTCATTAGATACAGTACACTGATAGTTACCAGCTTCACTTAAATTTGGTACTGTCACTCTTGTAATAAATCCTGATCCATTCACTATCACACGAGACAGTTCAGTAGATATTCCAGTCCCATTCACTAAACAACTGACAGTAGTAGGAGGACCATCAGAGACGTTGAAACTGAGACTGAAGACTGGAGGAGTAGCTAACCTACTAGTGGAGAGGAGAGAGAACTGCATAGTAGGATCAGCATCAGGACCATCTGTAAAAGAAGTACATTAATTATAGTCTATATTCATCACATACCATTGCTTTTGAATCCAGTATCAGTATATGCTCCAACCACTAGTGTTTGATTCACTCCATTCTCATCAGGAATGATACACTTGTACAAACCTTCATATCCTGATAGTCCACCATTTCTAGCTAGTGCAATCTGACCACTGAATCTCTTACTGAACACTGGACTAAGATTGGCATTGTTATCATCAAATGCATCATTTGTCAAAGGTACTTCAGTTCCATTAGGATAATACCACACTCCAATATTAGTACCATTGTTAGCACTCTGACACCACAAAGCATCATTGATATTGCCAGTATCATTATTGTGGTCAACATCATAAAACTGGCTAGAATGTATCATAAAGTAATCAGGTATTATCCTGTCCTCATAAGGTAGATACAACTGAGTGCCTATAGATTACACAATTAAAGAAACTCATATTAAAGTGATATTCTAGTTACCATTACTAGGCAGGTTATTAGGTTGCTGTCCTTCAACTCTCAACAGGAGGAAGCCAGCAAGAAGAAGCATTGCCTTCAACATCTTCACAGGAGAAATAGTACACAGATAGGTATCAACATGCAAATATTTGGTAAATAACAACTCACATGAGGAAACACACATACATATGTGTTGTTGTTTAACTCACTTACCCATTTCCTTTATAAAACTTATATATACATTCACTTATACATTCAGTTTGATGGTACATAGCTTTTACTAATTTTCCTAAAGGATACTACTGTTTGGATCTAGGGCAGTTCTGTTACACAAAGTAATGCCCTGATGCAAGCAAAGATTTAATTGTACATGAAAAATAGCTGTAGATAATAATAGTACACACTTTATATTAGCTACTTGCAATCTAATGATGTGCCTATACCAACAAACACAGCTAGTGCATGGAGTTTTATTTATAAAATTCATCATTGTTGATTTTCTTGTTCTGCCATTACTCTATAGTGGGTGGGTGGAGGTTGAATTCTTGGTTGAAGTTCAAATGATGACAATTCCAAGGGAGAATCGTATACAACTTCTTGTGGATTTTGAATTACTGGGGGCCTGTTATGACAGTATTATTATGCAGTGATTTTTATCATGTTTATTCTTTATGTACTTACTCAATGACAGCATAGTTGTGTACTGGATCCTTCTTTAATTTGATGGGCCTTATAGTACCGGTAGCACTAAAAAAGTAAAAATATACGAAAAATTAAGCTGATTTGTACTCTTTTCTTCTCTATATTTTTTTCTCTTTTATTTCTTCTCACTCTTTTCCTCTCCTCTCTCTATCTCTTACTTGACATTATAAGCTACCTTTTTCTTCTTACAGCACATTCCAATCATCACACACACAAATATCATGTTAATAAATAAAGAGATACCCAGTAGTGGTGGACATACATACAAAGTTGATATGTTTATGAATTCATCACTGAAAACACCACTCTGTGTTGAAGTAGGAGATGTCATAGCTAAAGTAAGAAATATTAAATATCACTCTACAGTGCCTGCTATTTGTATAACAGCAAAACTGATTTGTTTTTAGTGGCTTTTATTCTGATTTGGCTTATACAAATTGGTTGTGTTTATGATGCTTTTTTATATAGAATCCAATAGGAATTGAAAGCATAAATGTTGTTGCCAATTTGTACATTCAACAACCACACATTAAAACTGAAAGGACAGTAATGTAAACGTTTATATATTATTAACACACTCGTAATTATTACTTATTGTTTTTGAAGTGTAAGTTAAACATGAACCCACTGTTGGTACTTCAGTAGAAATAACTAAAACATTCAAGTACTTCAGTGTTCCATATTTTATCATTATTTTACCTGTTGGTTCAGTTCTAGGTCCTTCATAATAAGCTCCATTTATTTCTATAGTCACTGACATCTCAAATGAGTAACTGAGGCATGAGTATAGTCCTGATATGATACTTTGATTTGTTTCATTGCTAACATTCATTGAATCAACATAACACCCACTGCTGTAATAGACAGTGTAGTAACTGGCCCCTGGAATGGGTAGCCAATTCATTTGTACAGCAGTTGAGTTGAGACGTATGAGAGTGAAATTGCTTATACTTACTATAAAAATAGTGTATTATAATGCTGTGAATTTTAATAAAAAATTCACCTATTTTTTTAGTTGTAAATAATTCATTAGTCCATTCTCCTGGTCCAACACTAGTATAAGCTCTCACTCCAATAGTATAACTAGTATTAGGTATCAATCCTACTATACTGTAATAAGTGTTAGTAGTGTTAGTTATAGTGTATGGACCAGTACTGGTAGACTCTCTATATCTTATCTCATATACTGTAATGATACCATTAGGTATTGTAGGAGGATTCCATGAGATACTGATCTTAGTTGGTACCCTTGCATATAGATCAGATATCAGACCAGGAACTGTGTTAAAATCATGTTAAACTGATCAATATCCTATTGACCTACTTGATTCAGTAGTCAAATGCATTTCTTGTCTAGCTGGTCCATTCATATTATAATTATAAGGTATTATACTCACAGTATAGTTAGTATATGGTATTAATCCTGTGAGATTATACATTCTGTTGTCTCCTCCAGTGATATTAACAGTATAACTAGTGTTTGAAGTGATGTTAGTGTATGTGAGGTAGTATCCAGTGATTGGTCCATTCCTTCCATTGCAAGGTACTTCATCCCATGAGACAGTCATTGACACTGACTCTACTGATGAGAATATAATATCACCCACTGGTCCAGTAGGAGCTAGAGAGAATAAAACAATAATACTGAATTAATAAATAGTTGCATACCAGATGAAAGTGTAGTAGTTACATTGCTAACATTAAAATCTACCATATCATCTTCATATACTCCAATAAGATCAAAGTCACATTGACTGTAAGGAGGTATACCAGTTGAAGTATGTGGTGATGAAACTGATGTTTCACTATTACTAGTGACTGATGATTCACATACTCTCCTACATCTCCTATTAATGTTATAACTAATTGGTACTACAGCAGTTGGTGGACTCCATGTTAATGTAATGGTACTAT